TCGAAGACGAGTGGGGCGAGGTCTCCCCCACTCGGAGGGTATCTGTCCCGCTTTTCCCGCACCATGGCCGCTGCGGCGGCGCCATCGTTGTTGGAGCGCGCTTGCCTGCGAGGGGCGTACTCAGAGTATTCGCAAGTGATGTTCCAATCAACGAAGACGGGCCGGCCCGTGCTGGGATCTGTCGTGGCGACATCTAACTTGGCTGCTTCCAGCAGGCCTGTGTGCCGGTTGACGCGGTCCCACGCAGGGACAAGCTGCTCTGCGGTCGCGGCGAAGCCTGTGAGGCTGGTGTGCAGCTTGGCATGCCGACTCGGTCGGCGGTCGTGGCGGGCGGTGCGGGACTGACCGACTCCACAGCATCTCGCGTGCCACCCTCGCCGGTCCAGTTGGGCGCCGCAGATTGCGCCGTCCTGGCGGCGGTGCTGGCACACGGCGCCTTGCGGGCAGACATCACACCGGAGGCGCAGCTTCACAGAGGTGATGAAGTGCCTGTCGGGCATGTTGGGGTCACCTTCCTCGCTGGGCAGGACGAAACTGCCAGCTCCTGTCCCGCCTGCGCCGCGGAGTGCCAGGCGGTCGTCCTCCCCGAGTTCCCGGAGGAGTTTTGCTCTAGTGGCCGCAGAGCGCGCCTTGCCCCACGTGCCTTGCAACTTGGGCGTGGGCTCCTGGAAGCACCCCAACCAATCGAAGTCGCCGCTGATGGCCCCCTGGGCCCGGAGGTCAGCGTCGGCTTCCATGAGCGTTTGGTGCGTCAGGGGGCATTGTGCCCGGAAGTCTTCCCAGCTCTGGAAACCGGCGGCGCGGGCCACTTCCTTCATGGTGAGAGCCCAGCTTGCCGCATACGCTGCGGAGGAGGTGGCCCGCGCGGAAGGCAAGGAGATACCGCCGTCTTTGAGGCGCATCGTGGCCTGCGCGCGCTGCTGCGGGTCGAGAGCGGCCCCGATGAGTTCTTCCAGACAGCCGAACATGATTTGATTCTCGGGCCCCCATTGGGAGTCTATTGGGGCCTTCCTGGGGTTTTCTTGGGGCCGTCTTGGGGCCCTCTTGGAACGTTTTTCGAGCCCTGCTTGGGGCCTCTTAGGCCGTCTTGGGACGATCTTTGGAGCCTCTGGGGCCGTTCTTAGCCCGAAAAGGCGAGAATCCGCAGAACATGCAAAACCATAGACAAACATATGTTTTTGGCCCCTGGAGGCCCTCTCGGGAAGCCCTTTGGAGCCTCTTGGGGCGTCTCGGGACACTCGCGGACCGTCTCGAGGACATCTGAGGCCATCTTGGAACGCTCTTGGACGGTCTTGGGGTCCCTTGCAGCGCTCTTGGGCTGTCTTGGAGCCCTCTTGGACCCCTCTTGGGGGTATCCTGGGCCGTCTTGGGCGCTTCTTGGGCCGTCTTGGGCGCCTCGGGGGCCGTCTCGGGGAAGGGTTCGGCCATTAACGCCCCTTCGGCGCCTCGCCCCTCCCCTGGACCCCTCCCTAGAAGGCTTCGCCCCAACTCAACGTACATGACTCGTACCCCGCTCTTTCTGTCACCTGGGCCAGCACGGGGACGGAAAAAGCGCTACAGGAACTTGCCCGAGATGGCTCATGACACCCTTCGCTCTGGGGAACCTTGTGGTGAAGAGCTTGTTACGTCATCGCTCTTTGTTGGGAGCCCTGGTGTTCAGAGACTTTTACGTTGCTGGTTGCTCTTGGGAGCCTTGCTGTTAAGCGTTCTTTGCGTCACCGCGCTCTGGGGAACCGTGGTGTTAAGAGCTTGTTACGCGACCGCTCGCTGTTGGCTCCTGGTGCTTCTTGGCGGTCTTTTTGGGACCCCTTGGGGCTGTTTAGGGGTCCTCTTGGGCCGTCTTTGGGCCCTTTGGGGCAGTCTTGGGGTATCTTGGAAACGTTTGGTTTTTTTGGGGGGGCTCTCTTGGGGACCTCTTGGGGCCCTCTTGGGATCATTTTGGGGCCCTCTTGGGGCCCTCTTGGGGCTCTCTTGGGGCTGTCTTGGGGCCCTCTTGAACCGTTTTGGGGCCCTCTTGGCCCATCTTGGGGCCTTCTTGGGTTGTCTTCGGCCTCTTGGAGGCCTCTTGGGCCGTCATGGGAAAATCCTTGAAGCCTCTTGGGCCGTCCTGGGCCGTTCTTGGCCCGAAAAGGCGAGAGCCCGAAAAAACATGGAACACAAAGGAAAAGCTATGCTGTTGTGCCTCCTCAGGCCATCTTGGTGGTCATCTTGGGCGCCTCTTGGACCTGCTTGGCCCCCCCTGGGTCGTACTGAAGCCATCTGAAGCCATCCTGAAACGCTCTAAGGCGGTCCTGCGCTTTCTTGGGGCCTCTTGTGAGCCTCCTCCGGCCATCTTGAGACTCTCTTGGGGCCGTCTTGGTGCCCTCTTGGGCCACTTCAGGCTTGGGGCCCTGGAGCCGCTTCAACCAAAAAAGCGAAGAAGAAAAAACAAAAAAACGCAATTGAAGACGACCTGGAGCCGCTTCAGTCTAAAACATACACTCCTGTTGCGGATTCTCGCCCCTCCCCTGGGCCCCTCCCTAGAGGGCTTCGCCCTACACAGGAACGCCATCACCCGTACCTCGCTCTTTCCGTCACCTGGGCCAGCACGTGGGCGGAAAAAACGCTTCAGGAACTTGCACGAGATGGCTCATGACACCCTTCGCTCTGGGAAGGCTTGAGGTGAAGAGACGTTCACGTTGCCGTTCGTTCTTGGGCGCCTTGCTGTCGAGCGTTTTTTGCAACACCGAGCTCTGGGGAAACGTGGTGCTGAGAGTTTGTTACGCCACCGCTCGCTGTTGGGAGCCATGTTGTTACTGGGCGTATCTGGGGCTTTTTGGCTGTCTTTTTGGAGACACTTTGGGGCCGTTTAGGGGCCCTCTTGAGCTGTCTTCGGGCCCTTTGGGGCAGTCTTGGAGTCTCTTGCAAACTGTTGGCCCTGTTGGGGCTCTCTTGGGGGCCTCTTGGGAGCCTTCTGGGCAGCCCCCGAGACTGTATCGGGGCCCTCTGGGCCGCTACCTCCCTCAATGGCGAAGCACCAAAGCTTCGAGGCCGCTCCTGGCCCAAACACAGAGGCAGGCGCAGCGGCGCAGCCGAAACAGGGACAAAAGAAAAAGGCGGGCGGGCGGGACAACCGGCCCCACCCTTGAGCCCAAAACAACGGCAGGCAGGCGGCGCGCGCGCAAGAGACACGAGGAGAGGCAGCGGGGAGTCGAACATTGCTTCGCCGAGTGGATCTGTGTTAGCTCCCGCTCCCTCCCATCCTGTTTTTCATTGGCGAGGCACTAGAACTTCGAGGCCGCTCCCGGCCCCAATGCCGATGAGGGAAGAGGGGGAGCGGCACAGGAGCGGGGCACTGCGGTGCCTAATCTCCAGGGCCAGATTCGTCGACGACGCCCTGCGCCAGCAGGCCAGCGGCCACCTCGTCGCCCGACGCATGCGGCCTGGCTGAAGCCACCGAGCGCCAACCATCTCTTGCGAGCGTGGTTCCCATGCCCGACGCTGCGAAAACGTCCGCAGCCGCGCCCCGCCGGACGTCGTGGCCAAACCACTCTTCGGGGTCAACGGAGCTCGGCTGTCCATGTCTCAGGGGTGTATCCGCCATCTGGGCGGCCCCCGACCCTGAGAAGCTCGTCCCTCGTCGACCCCGCAAGTACCCCCCCCCCCAAAAAAAAAAGAAAACCGTGCGCAAGTCGACCCGCTGCTTCCAGCGCATCGGCCCGCGCACGAACCGACCGCCCTGCACCTACGCGCGAGCGCGCGTGCACTGCGCGAACAGCTCGGATGGCATCCGCAGCAGGAAATCATAGGCAAGCGCTGCAATGACGCACCACCGCCTACGCTGGCAAGACAGCGCGAAGCGGAGCAACCGCCGCAGCAACAGCCGGTCTACGCGGCGCTGGGGGAGCCGAGGGGCCCGGCTCTTGGCCGCACCCCCCCAAAAAAAAAAACGCACAAGATGACGTCCTGATCGCCTTGCCAGCAAACGCCGGCAGCCTGGTGTGCCAGGGCCCATGTGCCAGGGCCCACGCGCTCAGCCACCCACGCTGTGTGGAGGCACACGCACAGACTGCAGCAACTCTACGAAAGTGCTGAGACGAGCAGCCCAGCGGGGGTTCCCCTAACAATTCACTTGCCCAGGCAATCATACGCAAGTGCGACGCGAATGTCCGCAGCGTGGACGGTACTGTTTTGCACAGGAACCGTTGTTGCACCACCGAGTCCGCAACGGATTGGGGGTTGACGCCCGAAGCGCGGGCCTCCGCCATGGCAGCCAACACCTCCCGCGGGAGCGCCCCGTCCAGGTGTTTCTGGCTACACCCCCTGTCTATGATGAGTGCAACCATCATGTCCCAATTATGCCTGTCAGTCGCCTGGGTGATGGAGTCGAGGACTCCCCAGTACCTGTCCCACAGTGCGGCGGCACCGTGCGGGGCAGGGGCAGCGGCCAATGACTGCACCCAGCGGGGGCCCGTTTTGGGGCCCTCTTGGGTCGTCTTCGGCCCATCTTGGGGGTCCCGTCTTGGGACAATTCTTTGAACCTCTTGGGCCGTCCTGGGCCGTTGTTGGCCCGAAAAGGCGAGACACCGAAAAAACTACAAAACAGAAAAGAACGTCGCTGTGTTTGGGCCTCTTCAGGCCCTCTTGGGGGCCATACTGGGCGCCTCTTGGACCTGCTTGGGGCCCCCCTGGATCGTCTTGAAGCCATCTGAAGCCATCTTGAAACGCTCTAAGGCGGTCTGGCGCTTTCTTGGAGCCTCGTGGGAGCCTCCTTCGGCCCTCTTGGGACTCTCTTGGGGCCGTCCTGGTGACCTCTTGGGCAGTTTTGGGGCCCTCTTGGGGCCCTGAAGCCGCTTCATTCAAACAATTCGAGGAAACGGGCCACTGGAGGCGTCCTGGAGCCGCTTCAATCGAGAACTACACGGGAAACGGGCCATTACACCCATGCTGCGGATTCTCGCCCCTCCCCTGGACCCCTCCCTAGACGACTTCGCCCCACACAGGAACGTCATCACTCGTACCTCGCTCTTTCCGTCACCTGCTTGGCATAGGGACTTTTTGTTTTTGGTAGCACCGTCTATGCACACCAATACTTGCGTTACCCGCAGAGGTTTACATGCGAACGCCAGGTCTGGGTAACTCTGACTCATATGGGCGTCGCATTGCGGCCGTATGAAAACTTTAAATCTTCTCGACGGCGCCAAATGGCCTCTGGAACAACAAATAACCTGGGGTTTCACGTCGTCCAGGTGCACGGGAGCTGTCGCACATCACCTTTGTGGGCATGCAGCGAGCAGCAAGCCAGAGATAGTGGAAAGCAGAAAGGGAGACGAGGAGGAGGATGAGGGGAATCGGGGATGGACAGAACCCCCTTTAGTCAAACGAGGTTTTGTGACGGCGGTCGCAAGCCTGGAAAATGACGGCCGCGGCGCCCTCTCGAGAACCGAAGACGGACAATTCACGGATCGACGTGTCAGGATGGGGGTTCTGCCCACCCCCGAGGGAAGCGAAGCAAAAGAGAGGGCCGAGGGCTGCCGGCACGAAGTCTCGCGCCAGGAGTCCGCGCGGCGCAGGGCACAGGCAAAGGTCGCTCGGCGTCGCCCGGTGCTGGGGCCACAGGCAGCGTTCGAACCTGCCGGTGCGGGGCGCCCTCGTGTCCCCCGGAGGTCACTGGTCGGCGCTGCTCGGGTACGCCGCAATGGTTGGGATCATGATGAGGATGCAGAGCAGGTAGGTTGAGAAGAAGAGGTAGCGAGCCAGTCCGTCGATAATGTCAGAGGGTCTCTGGTCGAAGAACTTGGTCACGCACGGTGGTGTCGGATGGATGCTCCCGTTCTCGAACATGATGAGGAGGGTGCGAAACTCGAGGTTCGAGATCGAGTGACCGCTGCTCGACTGATGGGCACAACTCGAGGGCCCCACATCGCGAGGCACCTGCTGCTTCTGCAGCCCTGGGTCGACGTGCAATTGCGGCTGGTGGGCCTGTTGCCTTATGGACAGCGGGGTCTCTTGGGAACTCTCTGGCCGCGGCATGGACGAGCCGAAGCAACCGAGGGCTCGCGGGAACACCGGGCACATGGTGGCGGCCCCCGACGAGGCGAGGCTCTTCCGCTGGCTCTGCTGGTGGCTCTGCGCGGCGGCCCCGACCGCCGTGGCGGAGGCCCCTGCGGCGGCGACCAGCGTGTGGGCATGGTGCGGGGCCGCGGCGACCAGCGCGAACTCGGTGTCGCCAGGGCTGGGAGGAGCAGCGGGAGCAGAAGGAGCGGGAGGGGACTCCCACGGCGCCCGTGCGACCCTTGGCTGGGCCGCCGGGGCGGGGGGCACGTCGAAGTCCTCCTGCGCCCCACCAGAGAGGCTCGGGCGACGAAGACCCGACACGGACGCGTGCTGACTGCGCACGAGCTCGATCACATCGGAGCACTGCTCGAGCGAATAATAGATGTTGAAATGGCGAAGCCCTGCCTTCAATTCCGTCACACTGATCGTGCCGTCAGAATCACAGAGAAGCCCCCCAGAGTCGATGGTCTTGAAGAACGTCTGAAACAATTTGCGCTCGCGATCGTTCAACGGATTACTCACATCCTGCATGCGCTTCGCAAGTTTTTCAAACGTGGCCATTCTGCCTGCGCGCCTTCGCTCAATGCCTAAAGTTGCGGAGATGACAGCCAACTCCAGAACAGCGATTGCCGTGTATACCAAGCTTAACATCAAGAATGAAGTCAGCCAGGTACTACTCGAAAGCGGAGGCAAGCTTCGTTCAACGGAATTGAGGTGATTCAGCATTGTTAATACAGGTATTACCGCCAAGGCCGCTCGCGCAGGTGCAGCCTTGGAGTCCACGAAAAACCCAACATATGACATGAAGACAAATAAAACAGCATATGCAACGTCTCTTCTCACAGAAAATCCAGACTTGCGCTGCAAGATGAAATTTATAGTCAAGGCATCATACATCAACGACTCGTCTCCAACTGTGTAGCCTTCCTGCGAAACGGCTGAAGCAAAATCCACCGCATCCCATAAAGTGGTTTGGACCTTGATCGGGCCATCGTCATCGCCGCCCCTCGTCCCGTCCACAAAACTGCCCGATGCCATTGGCACAATCCGCCGGCCCCCTTGTGGGGCCACCAGGCTGTAGGCCGGAGGCTCGCAGTTTCCTGTGCCAGTTGCAGCTTCCAGTTTCCACTGTTATCGTTCTGCTTCTTGCTGCTTACTGTTCCTTGTTGACTTCTTGCTGCTTACTGCTCCTTGTTGATGGACCGCGCGAGGGGGGGAGGCCCAAAACGGGCATTTGTACCACGGAGAAAAATATTATCTGAATTGCTGGGGTGGGTAAAAATTGACACCCCTCACGCAGATCGGCGGGGTCAGAATCGAAAAACACATGTGGTTTGCCACATTTCTGAAATCCGGTGGCACCCCTCACGCAGATCGGCGGGGTCAGAATCGAAAAACACATGTGGTTTGCCACATTTCTGAAATCCGGTGGCACCCCTCACGCAGATCGGCGGGGTCAGAATCGAAAAACACACGTGGTGTGCCACATTTCTCAAATTCGGTGGCACCCCTCACGCAGATCGGCGGGGTCAGGGTCCAACAACATAAAGGATTTGCCACATTTCTCAAATTCGGTGACACCCCTCCGAAAACACAAAGGATTTGCAACATTTCTAATATTCGGTGGCACCCCTCACGCAGATCGGCGGGGTCAGGGTCCAAATCACGCAGATAGGCGGGGTCAGGGTCCAAAAACACATGGGATTTGCCACATTTCTGATATTCGGTGGCACCCCTCACACAGATCGGCGGGGTCCGGGTCCAAAAACACATGTGATTTGCCACATTTCTGAAATGCTGTGGCACCCCTCATGCAGATCGGTGGGGTCAGGGCCAAAAACACAAAGGATTTGCCACATTTCTCAAATTCGGTGACACCCATCATGAGATCGGCGGGGTCAGGGTCGAAAAACACATGTGATCTGCCACATTTCTGAAATTCTGTGGCACCCCTCACGCAGATCGAGAGGATCAGGGCCAAAAACACAAAGGATTTGCCACATGTCTGACATTCGGTGGCACCCCTCACGCAGATCGGCGGGGTCAGGGTCCAAAAACATATGGGATTTGCCACATTTCTGATATTCGGTGGCACCCCTCACGCAGATCGGCGGGGTCAGGGTGCAAGAACACAAAAGATTTGCTACATTTCTGAAATTCGGTGGCACCCCTCACGCAGATCGGCAGGGTCACGACGTCTTACCAATCGCCAGGTGTGGTTAACCCGTCTGGTTATCTATTGGTTTTGCTCATAACGAATCGGCCTCGCATGAAGTTCCGATACTGCTTCACGAAAGCGCCCAGGCCTCATGGCATAGCTCTTGCATAACGCATTCTCCGAGAGAGGGGGCCGGCGGCAGGGGGCGAAGCCCTTACGGGTAATCACGCTGCTAGCTGGTTCGTCATAGGGCATGATCGTTACAGGGCACTTTTGCGTATCAAACGGCATCCTGCCAAAATCCATGGCGCAGGAGAACTTGTGCAATATCTGAATGCTTCTGAACACTCGCCCCGATGGCATCACCCGAAAAGAGTAGGTGGAGTAGGACTCGGTCAAGACATTCTGGAAGAAGAGCGAGGGCGCCCAGATCAGGAGAGGGTCCTGCTGGGGTGGGCCCTCCAGGTTGTTGTCCAGGTGCAGGTCGAGATGGTCGAAGCAGTCCCCCCACTCCTCTGCGAACGCCAGCCGCTCGTCCAGCCACGCGGACCGCCAATAGCCAGCGATGGTCACTGTCTGCGCAGTCTGATCGACCCCCACGAGCTTCTCGACGTAGATCTGCTGCTCCAGCCGCGTCGGGGTGCCGCTCTCCGCGCCGGGGTGATACAGCCGGTTGTACACCTCGGCCGACGTGAGGCTCAGCAGCAGCTCCTGCGGGTCCGCGCCGAGGCAGCGCGCGGGCACCGGGCCGCCGAGGCTGCGGTGCGGGCGGCCCCGCGCGCTCGCGCGGTGGCCGGGGGCCGCGCTGGCCACGGCCAGCGCCAGCACGACCAGCAGCGCCGCCAGCGGGTCCGCCAGGGGCGGCTCGCAGCGGGCGCGGCGCATCGCGGCTGCTACGAGCTGTGCTCGCGCCCGCCTCCCGCGGCTCGAGGACACCAGAGCCTTGAGCCAAAGAGGGTTCTTTCTGTGAGGGCGCGAGGTCGCTGGCTGGTGTCTTGGAGTCTGCTGGTGTTGACGGCTTTAGCACGACATACAAAAATCTAACAACAAACCTTGCGATAATCAATGAATATTCGATTTCCGTGCCTTCCTGAGTCCTTTTGGGGCTCTTCTGGGCCGTCTTGGGGCTCTCCTGGGCCGTCCCGGGACCCTCCTGGACCGTCTGAGCGGGCTTGGGCCGTCTTGGGGCCCTCTGGGGGCGCTCTTGGGGACCTCCTGTGGCCTCCTGTAGCCCTCTTGGGGCTCTTTTGGGAACATTTAGGGACCCTCGAGGGCCCGTCTCGGGCCGCTCTCCGGCCGTCTTGGAGCGCTCTTTGGGGCCTCTCAGGCAGTTACGGGGTGGTCTTGGGAACCTCTTAGGGCGTCCTGGACACTGTGAAGACCAAAGAAGCTAATGTGCCAAAAATGCACGTTTTCGGAATGGGCCGATATTTGCCTCTTGGGGGTCGCCTTGGGGGCCTTCTGCGGCGTTTTGGGGGCCTCTTGGGCCGTCTTGACGCCATGGGCCCTCTTTGAGCGCTCATGAGCCATCCTCGGGCCCTCGCGGACCTCTCCGACGTCGTCGTGGAGGTGGCTTGGGCGCTCTTGGGGCTGTCTTGGGCAGTCCTGGGGGCCTCTGAGGCCCTCTTGGGGCCTGCTTGGGCCGTCTTGGGCCGAAAATTGTCGAAACTTGGCCATTCGACCTGGTCTGGCACAGAAACGGAAAAGAGCGCTTCAGAAACAGAAACAGAAATTATGCACACCAACGTTCGTACTGGGAGCCTTGGCGTTGAGAGCTTGTTACGTCACCCCTCGCTCTTGGGAGCCTTGGTGTTCAGAGATTGTTGCGTTGCCGCCCGTTCCTGAGCCTTGTCTGGGCCTTGATGTCAGGAACTTGTTACGTCACCGCTCTCTGCCGGGAGCCTTTGTCTTATCAGCTTGTTTACGTCACCGTTCACTCTTGGGAGCCTTGGTGTGAAGAGCTTTTTGCGGTACCGATCGCTCTGTATTTGGCGTGTCTGGGCATTCGTGGGAGTCCAATTGGGGCCCTTTTGGAGCCCTTTGGGGGGCCTCTTGGGAACCTCTTGGGGGCCTGTTGGCGCTTCTTGGGGGGTTCTTGGGGCCTCCTGGGAGCTTCTTGGGGCGAAAGGCTAGACTTTTCGGTTCGTGGTCCCCCTCTTGGGGCCGTCTTGGGGCCCTCGTGGGCAGCCTTGGGCGCCTCTTGGGCCGTTTTGGGGCCCTCTTGGGCCGTTTTGGGGGCCTCTTGGGAGCCTCTTGGGCCGTCTTGGGGCGGCCGTGGGGGCCTCTTGGGCCGTCGTCAACGCCGTGAAAGCAGAAGAGCCGTATATGCTAAAAATGTATGTTTTCCCTTGGGGAATCTATGAGTTTGGCTTCCTGGTGGCCTCTTGGGACGCCTTTTGGGGGCCTCTTGGGGCTTCTTGGGGTGCTCGTGGGGCCTCCTGGGAGCGTCTTGGGGCGAAAGGCTAGACTTTTCGGTTCGTGGTCCCCCTCTTGGGGCCGTCTTGGGGCCCTCTTGGGCCGTCTTGGGCGCCTCTTGGGCCGTCTGGGAGCCTTTTTGGGTCGTTTGGGGGCCTCTTGGGAGCCGCTTGGGCCATCTTGTGGCGGTTTTGGAAGCCTCGTGGGCCGTCGTCGACGCCGTGAAGCCGAAAACCGTATATGCTAAAGATTTACATCTTCCTTTTGGAAAATCAATGATTTTGGCATCTTGGGGCCCTCTTGGGACGCCCCTTGGGCGCCTCTTGGGGACCTCTTGGAGGCCTCTTGGGCCGTCTTGGGCTCTCTTGGAGCGCTCTTGGGGTGTCTTTGGGGGGAACCCGACAAACATGCAAAAAACAAAGGAAAAACCGAAAACGGCCATTACCAACCTTGCGTCCGGCCCTCCACCCTCCCCTGGACCCCTCCCTAGAGGGCTTCGCCCAAACACAACGTCATCACTCGTACCTCGCTCTTTCCGTTACCTGGCCCGGCACGGAAACGGAAAGAGCGCTTCAGAAACAGAAACCGAAATTACGCACGCCACCGTTCGTACTGGGAGCCTTGGCGTTGAGAGCTTGTTACGTCACCCCTCGCTCTTGGGAGCCTTGGTGTTCAGAGATTGTTGCGTTGCCGCCCGTTCCTGAGCCTTGGCTGGGCCTTGGTGTCAGGAACTTGTTACGTCACCGCTCTCTGCTGGGAGCCTTGGTCTTATCAGCTTGTTTACGTCACCGATCGCTCTTGGGAGTCTTGGTGTGAAAAACTTGTTGCGTTACCGATCGCTCTGTATTTGGCGTGTCTGGGCCTTCTTGGGAGTCCCATTGGAGCCCTTTTGGAGCCTTTTGGGGGGCCTCTTTGGGGGCCTCTTGGGGTTTCTTGGGGGGTTCTTGGGGCCTCCTGGGAGCTTCTTGGGGCGAAAGACTAAACTTTTCGGTTCGTGGTCCCCCTCTTGGGGCCGTCTTGGGGCCCTCTTGGGCCGTCTTGGGCGCCTCTTGGGCCGTCTTGGGGCCCTCTTGGGCTGTTTCGGGGGCCTCTTGGGAGCCTCTTGGGCCGTCTTGGGGCGGTTTGGGGGGCCTCTTGGGCCGTCGTCAACGCCGCGAAAACCGAAAAGCCGTACATGCTAAAAATTATCCCGGCAAAGCAACCTACCATCGATATGTAGAAGCATAGCTGGAGGGGTGTATGTCCAAACGAGACACTGCCATCACCGCGCGGAACTTGAATGGATGTATGTCCAAGCGAGACACTGCTATCATCGCACGGAGCTCGAATGGGTGTATGTCCAAACGAGACACTGCTATCAACGCACAAAGCTTGAATGGATGTACCTCCAAATGAAACACTGCTATCAACGCACGGAGCTCGAATGGATGCATGTCCAAACGAGACACTGGTATCAACGCACGGATGCTTGAATGGGTGTACGTCCTCACGAGACACTGCTATCAACACACGGAACTTGAATAGATGTATGGTCAAACAAGACACTGCTATCAACGCACACACTGCTATCAACGCACAGAGCTTGACACTACACAGTTGTATCACAGACTCGCAGGACAGTAGGACTCGCAGGACTACATTGTGTACAAAGTATTATGTGCAGGGACTCGTAAGACCTGTGTCTCTACTGGTGTGCTGGGCGAGTCCATGCAAAAGCATGCACTTTGGCAGACGTCTTGGAAGTCTGCAAAAGCGGCACGCTGAGCTGTGGTGGCAGGCTGCAAAAGCGGCAGCCTGCAAAAGCCTGCACTTTGGCAAACGTCTTGGAAGCCTGCAAAAGCGGCAGGCTGAGCTGTGGTTGCAGGCTGCAAAAGCGGCAGCCTGCAAAAGCATGCACTTTGGCAGACGTCTTGGAAGTCTGCAAAAGCGGCGCGCTGAGCTGCGGTGGCATGCTGCAAAAGCGGCAGCCTGCAAAAGCCTGCACTTTGGCAGACGTCTTGGAACTGAGGAGCGGCGTGCGAAGCGGAGAGCCTGCGAAACCTGGAGGCTGAAAACTCGCAGGCTGAGACTCGCAGAAACCCGCAGGCTGAAAAGAGCCCTACTACTCGCAGAAAAGCACCGCAGAAAGAGTCTAGCGAGAAGCACCGCAGGCTGAGAAGCACCGCGGGCACACGGGCTTGGAAACCTCATCTCTCCCGCTCGTCTTGCAGGAAGTCGCGCCAATCCGGCGGCTGCCAAGAGTCGATGACGCGCCGAGACCCACCGCCCGTGCTGCCGCCGATGTCCAGGTAATCCCCTCCCGCAGTACGGAGGCGGCCGTGTCCTAGCGCCACAATCGCCTGGTTCCGGTTGACTCGCAACTCGCCGCTGTCCCACTTCCGAAGCACGTCCAACTGCTTGCGCGTGAGAGTGGGAACCTCCTGGCCCTGGTCGGCAGGCTGAGTAGCACCGCCACGTAAGAGCTCTTGCCGATAGCGGGCGAGCCGCTCACCCTCGTTGTAGCGCGAGATCGCTTCAGCCTTGTCGTGGTGGAGGCGGCGGCGCTCTTCCTTCATGACTTCGTCGTGCGCAGGTGGCCCACTGGGTTCGGCGCGCAGGGCTTGGGCGAGCATGTCAACGTCGAAGCGGCCGGAGAAAGCCAGCACCTCCCAGATCTGTTTTGTGCCGCGCACACGTTGCAGATGCCGGCACCACCGCTTACGCTTCTGCTCTCTGAGGAACTTAGCGAGACTCCCTTGGCCTGCCCCTTGGGGCTGGCCACCTTGTGGTGGAGTCTTGCCTTTCGCCTTCCCCTCCTCGCCTTTTCCCGCAGACTGAGAAGCTCCGCGAAAACCTTGTGGAGTCTTGCCTTTCGCTTTCCCCTTTTCGCCTTTTCCCGCAGGCTGAGAAGTTCCGCTAGAACCTCGTGGTGGAGTCTTGCCTTTCGCTTTCCCCTTCTCGCCATCTCGTTCCTGTAGCGCCAGCTGGTGTTCGGACTGCTCGTACTCTGTGCGAACACGTCTTACGAGTTCCCCGCGCTCAGCGTCGGTGAGGACGCGCCGCAAGTCGGCGATGTTTTTGCTCCGCAGAAACTCATGGCGAACCTTAAGGACAGACGCAATGGCTCGGACAGTCTCCGCCTGCGACGCGAAGGCGGCGTCGCAGTCCGAGCCAGGCTGAGAAGCACCAGCTGGATCTTTGTCCGCAGGCTGCGTGGACGTCCTCTTCTTGAACAGCAAGAGGCTGAGGTGGTGGAGGAGTTTCGGGTCGTAGGCCGCGTCATACCTCTGGTCCCAATACTCCCTCAACTCCTTGTGCAGCTCATGCGCGCGCCGACTAACTTCATCCTCGGGCTCGTCGCAGGCAGCGGCGTCGGCCGGCGACGCCGGTGAAAGCGGCGCATGCAGAGGAGCGGGGCTCGGGGACCGGGACCAGTGCACCGAGGAGCCCTCCACCTCGGTCTCTGAGCCGGCGTCGGCGTCAGGCAACCCTCCGAATGCAATATTCCGCCTCTTTGTCTCCCCAGGCTGAGAAGCATCAGGGGCGGTGAGCACGACCGCAACAGCATCGTGTGCGTCGTTTCGCATGCCACGGCCCATGTAGG